CATTCCGCAGACGTTTTCCTCTTTTGTTTTTTATCCGCCATCTCTATCTTTCTGACGCTCGGCTCGGCTAATGTCCGTCCCATGCACTGAAAGCTCTCTCCTCCACATCACGAGTAGACACGCCCCTTATTGCTGATTGGCTACAAGTTTGTTTTGCTATTCGGCCCGAATCAGTTTTCTAAAGTGTTTTTGAAAAATTACATACCCTACCTTTAATGCACGCTGCGGCGGGTCGAGGCCTGTTGACATTAACATAAAACTTCTTACACGTGACTGCTTACAATTTTATAGAATTTGTTGGTTCACATTCAAGAATGCCCCACTTTTATTAGCAAGCTTTAGAGGTGTGTGGATTCCTGACACAAGTGTTTAGTCATTGTTGTTTGCTCTGTTTAAGCCGTTGGAGTGCAGCGTGAGTTTTGGATCATAGATTATAGCCTAAATATTATGTGATGTTTGCATGGTAACAATACCAATTAATTATAAATAGTGTGTTTTTTTTTTCTTAGGGTTACAAAAAAGTTACACTACCATACAAAAGTTTGGAGTCAGTTAGATCTTTGTTTGTTTGTTTTTGTTTTTTTTAAGAAATTAATACTCATTTATTCAGTAATGATGCATTAAATTGATCAAAAGTGTCATTGAAGACATTTATAATGTGACAAAAAATTTCTATTTTTAAGTAAATGCTGTTCTGTTGAACTTTATATTCATCAAAGAATCCTGAAAAAAAAAAGTATTAAGCAGCACAACAGTTTTCAGCATTGATAATGATAAGAAATGTTTCTTGAGCAGCAGATCAGCATATTAGAATGATTTCTGAAGGATCATGTGACACTGAAGACTGGAGTAATGATGCTGAAAATTCAGCTTTGCATCAGAGGAATAAATTACATTTTACAACATATTGCGATAGAAAACAGTTCTTTTAAAATGTAATAATATTGCACAATATTACTGCTTTTACTGTATTTTTAATCAAATAAATGAAGCCTTGTTGAGCATAAGAGACTTTTTTCAAAAACGTCCTACAGACCTCAAACTTTTGAACAGCAGTATATATTCTTCTATGTAATCCCATTGTACTTTTTTGTGTTCTCCATGATATTAAATCTAGAAAATGTTTTGGTAAAATGCATTCGCAAACAGTATTATATTAAAATGCTTCGCTATATCATACAGTAAATAGCACTGTCTTTCTCTCCTGTTCTGTCTCTCTCCCAGCGCGTCCATGTGAGCTGCACTGCAAGCCTGTGGATGAGGCCTTTTCTGAGAAGATTTTGGATGCGGTTACAGATGGAACGCCCTGCTTTATGAACAACAACAGCAGAAACATCTGTGTCAATGGTGTGTGCAAGGTAGTGTGGCTGGGTATGTCTTGCATTCAACCCATTTGTGCTCATGTGTGCGTTGGTGTATTGATGTTATGTCTGTGTTCTGTAGCTGTACAGTAATGTATAAAAAGTGCACTTAAGTGACAAATCATCTATCGAAATATCAAAGCAAGTGTGTTTATCTGTGCTGCACGAGCTTCACTAACATCTTGTTTTTTCATTATTGTTGCTGTGTCTTTTAATTAGCTGGTGTTTTGGTCATTTTTAGTGGATGTATGAACTCATTTTTCCTCAAGTAAACACAGGTCTAGTTAATTACATTAACTAGGAACATGTTCCACTAACATTTCACAAACACAAAGTGGCGCAATACTTTTAGCTTAATTTCGAAACTCGTGCATCCATTGGGGTCAGTGAGATTTTTTAATGTTTTTGAAAGAAGTCTCTTCTGCTCACCAAGGCTGCATTTATTTGATCAAAAATACAGTAAAAACAGTAATATTGTGTAATATTATTACAATTTAAAATAACTGTTTTCTATGTGAATATATTTTAAAATGTAATTTATTCCTGTGATGCAAAGCTGAATTTTCAGCATCATTGCTCCAGTCTTCAGTGTCACATGATACTTCAAAAATCATTCTAATATACTGATTTGCATTTCTTATTATTATCAATGTTGGAAACAGTAGGGCTGATTAATATTCTGTGGAAACTGAAATGCATTTTTTTTCAGGATTCATTGATATATAGAAGTTTCACAAGAACAGCATTTATTTGAAATAGACAATTTTATGACATAAATGTCACTTTTCCTCAATTCATCCTTGCTAAATATAAGTATTAATTTCTTTAAAAAAAACATTTTTTTAAACTTACTGACCCCAAACTTTTAAACAATGGTATTATCCAGATATACTACCTACAGGTCCATATGCAGATAAATCACACATAAAAGGATAGTTCATCCAAAAATGAAAACAAATTTTCATTTTTGAGTGAACTGTCCATTTAATTACTAACCATGCTTTTATAAATGGGTCAAAGACGTTAAGATGTCCGCATCAAAAGAAATGTACAAAAGTGATTATATGTCCATAGAAAACACATTAAATGTAAGTAAAGTGTCTACTTTTAAGGTTTCAAAAAAGTTTTTGGAGGATAAAATGTCAAAATTTGGTTGAAATAATGTTTGACCCAAATACATACTGTATATTGGTTGGTCAACAGCATGTAAAGTAGGTGCATTTTTTTGCCTCCTCCTAATATTCATCTTTCATGTTATGAGGGAAGTAAATTTTGAGTTATGTTTTAGTGCCAAAGAGAAAAACTATATTTTGTGTTTTTGTATATGTGGTGATGGTTTTGTATATTTCTGTGATGTATGTGTAATCTTTCTCCAGGAGGTGGGTTGTGATTTTGGCATCAATTCTAATGCTAAAGAGGATGGCTGTGGCGTTTGTCTTGGTGATGGATCCACTTGTGAGACTGTGAAGGAGAACTTTGTGGAGCAAGATGGATTTGGTGTGTAAGACTTGTAATCTCTAGCCCTGCCTCTGAGTAGCACACATGACTTCTATGTTTATATATATATATTTATATATTATATACTAAATTAGATTTCAGAAATGATATGTACACATGAATGTCTTTGTGTACACTAATGTTTTAAGTGGCTTATAAGTGAGATTATGTGATTTAGGTTACACGGACCTAGTTTTGATCCCTGAGGGAGCTCGGAATATCTTCATACAGGAAGTGGAAGAGGCTGGGAATTTCCTTGTGATCCGAGCGGCTGATTCAGACGAGTATTACCTCAACGGGAATTACATAATTCAGTGGAACGGAGAGTACGAGGCAGGTGGCACTAAGTTTTACTACGATCGGACCGGTAATATGGAGAATCTCACCTCAGCAGGACCAACAACTGAACCGGTCATGATCCAGGTACTGAACTTTACACACGTAAACACATATGTGACCCTGGAGCACAAAACCAGTCTTAAGTTGCTGGGGTATATTTGTAGCAATAGCCAAAAATACATTGTATGGGTCAAAATTATCGATTTTTCTTTTATCATTTTTATCAACCTAATGATTTTTTTATGCCAAAAATCATTAGGATATTAAGTAAAGATCATGTTCCATGAAGATATTTTGTAAATTTCCTACTGTAAATATATTAGAACTTAATTTTTGATTAGTAAAATGCATTGCTAAGAACTTCATTTGGACAAATTTAAAGGCGATTTTCTCAATATTTAGATTTTTTTGCACCCTCAGATTCCAGATTTTCAAATAGTTGTATCTCGGCCAAATATTGTCCTATCATAACAAACCATACATCAATGGAAAGTTTATTTATTCAGATTTCAGATGATGTATAAATCTCAATTTCGAAAAATTTACCCTTATTACTGGTTTTGTGGTCCAGGGTCACATATGCCATATTACATACGGCAATATATTAAAGGAATATTCTGGGTTCAATATCAATTAAACTCTATAGACACCATGCCATTTATAAAAACAAGCAAAATTGTGTTTACAGTAATGCACAAACATTGGAAATCTATAGGGTGAGACATTTTGAAATGTAAAGCTTACAAAAATGTATAATAATAATTAAAATAATGTTTTATGGATAGCTGCATTACACCCCTTTCTAGCACAAATTAAGTTTTGTTGAGCACAGAAAAGGTTGGCATAAATACGAAAAATGTAAAGTCATTTACTACCTGTTCTTTCAAAACTGTGTGTATTTTGCTTTGACTGAAAATGCAATTTTTGTTGTTTTGACACACTGATTAAAGAGTGTTAAAGTGTGTTATTTTCTGTGTTAATCATGGTAAACATTTCACAAAAACAGCCCATTGTATTGAACCTGAATATTTCTTTAATGAACCAATGGACAATTTGCGAAGAAAGCATTTTTGTTAGAATACAGAATTTTGATTTAATTAAATTCTCTTGTGAAAAATAAAATCATTATCGTAACAGACACAGATAGTTTGAGTTATCACTCTTCTTCTGACATTATTTATATTAGAAAGATTTGGAAATAAAGTTGTTGGCTGGCGGCACTTGCAAAACATGATGATTTGTTGAATGCTGTCCATTAAATGATGGATGTTTTTCTTTCAATGTGAAATGTTCAGCTGTTGTTCCAAGAGGCAAACCCCGGTGTCAAATATGAGTACACCATTAAGAGGATTCGTTCACTGGGGAACGAAATTCTGGAACCAGCGCACATCTGGAAATATGGAGCCTGGACTGACTGCAGCACCACCTGTGGGTTTGGTATGGAACAAGATTTTTCTTTATTCAATCTATAGTTCAACTGTAGTGTCATTACTTATAAATAAAGGATATTTTGATGTGTTTATATTGATATCGGTTACTCCAGCAGGGCTTTGATAGCATGTGACTTTCTGTCTCTGTACAGGTGAGCAGCATCAGCCCGTGCGCTGTTTTGAGGCAGAGGTTGGTGTGGTCGAGGAAGCACTGTGTGACCCCAGCACACGTCCTGATGACAGGCATCGCAAGTGCAAGAACATGGACTGCCCTGCAAGGTACACTACTAAATAATGGCTACGCCACCATATTAGTCTTATTTATTATATCTCCAGTATGTAATATGTATACTGCATATAGAATGCAGCATTTCCGTATGCATAGAGTACCCAGAAGACCTACAATAATTCCCAGAATGGTCATTACACAGCAGAGTATACTACGCTGATCAACTACATGTATAGCATAATTCAGCACTGTATTTCATTTCCAGTGTGATGGAGAACCAGAAATTATATCAACTGAGGCTTTTAAAATCTTTTTCTTGACTCATTATTTTAATTGTACATGAACCTAGATTAAAAATGCTATTTATTTTCTTTTAATAGGAAATTTTAACTTTGCCTATTGCATATTGTTTCACATAAAATAGTAGGCCATAAAGAGCGTACAGTACTGTTCAAAAGTTTGGGTTTTTTGTAAATGATTTTGAGGACGTCTTTTATGCTCACCAATCTCACCAAGTAAAAAGTCAAATTATGAAATATTATTACAATTTAAAATAACTGTTTTCTATTGTAATATATTTTCAAATGTAATTTATTGCTGTGATGCAAACTCAAACCATTGAATGGTATTAGTGTATACTGTGGAGTATGTAGTCAGCAGTATGCTAGTATTCTATTCCTACATCCCAATAGTTGCACTGAATGCTCTGTGCACCTAAACTACTGACCTCAGGTGGTGGGTGGGAGGATGGCAGACATGCTCGGCTACATGCGGTCCAAACGGAGTGAAAAAGCGCACTATTCTGTGTGTGCGGACTGTGGCCGGAGAGGAGCGGGTTCTTCACCCTGGGGACTGTAAGCAGCTGCTCAAACCCAAACCTGTGGTACCTTGCAACCGAGACGTACCATGTGGGTCCGAATGGACTCTGGGGAACTGGAGCGAGGTGGGTAATATTTCAAAAATGGGAGGGAAAATTATATTTCAATGCTTTTGTATTCCCCCAAGAAACGTTGTTTTTGCTTGTAAGATTTTTGCATTTGCTCATAAAATTTTTGTGCACCCCCAAGAAACATTGCATTCACTCACAAATCTTTTGCGTTCCTTCAAGAAACATTGCGTTCACTCACAAAAACGTTTGCGTTTGTTCACAAAATGTATGCATTCCCTCGAGAAACGTTTTTTCGTAAAACTTTTGTGATGGAAATACTGTAATGAGGTGTGACTATATTTCAGATCTTTTGTGGGCAAATGGGAACGCAAATGTTTTGTGAGAGAATGCAAATGTTTTGCAAGCGAATGCAAAGTTTGACAGGGGAACGGATTGATTTTCCTCAAACACAAATGCATTGAAATATAATTTTTCCTTCCATCTAATATTTTTCTATCACCATGTCCTCTTAGTGGCTCTGTATCATGTTTTGTAGATTGTTTTACATTGTTCAGGGTTAAAAAAAATTTTAACACCCTGAAAATTTTAATTCTGTGATCATTTCCTTACCCTCATTTTGTTTCATATTACTTTTTTCTTACAATTTGACTTACTTTGAGCTAAGACGCTCATAAGGACAAAAACCACAGTAAAAGTCATAATACTGTTCATAAAACGTGTATATACAGTATATATGATTTGTGCTTTATTTCAAGTCATGCAATAGCCTTGTGTGAGGAAGAGACCAAAGTTCAAGTTAGTTGTTCAATGAAAATCTTTTGTCTGTCAAAACTCAGTCGTGCATGTACATATTCATAGTGGCGCTGCACGATTAATCAAAGTAAAACCGAAACTTCAAAATGGCTTAGTGCGATTATCAAATTGCAAATGCTGCAATTTAATTAAGTAAATGAATGCCTGGAATGTTTTAGAGAGAAGTACAGCATTAAGACAGCCATAAATATTAGTATTGTAATTTCACAATTGTAATGTAAAATTATTATATTGTTTCTAAAATACTCCATGTATTTTTTTACAGTGATATATCACAATAGCAATATTTCTAATTTTGTTTTTAATTTGTATTTTTTATATATATTTTTAATAATAATACTTTTTTTATAGCCATACTGATGTATACTCACAAAATGTGGGCAAAATAGTTTTTTTGTGCCCCAAATCATGCAGCCCTGATTCATACGTAGTAATTAGTTGCATTGTCATATTATTAAATTTTTGTGTTACCCAAACTTATGATTGCGTGTCATCCCGCAGTGCTCTCTGTCCTGCGATGGAGGGATAAAGTCAAGAGTCGTCAAGTGTGTGGCAAAACAACCCAGCCGGTGCAACCCTGCCAATCGACCTCGTTCCACGATCCTCTGTAACCTCCAGAGCTGCTCGTCCACTAACAGATGGACGGGTTCACGATTCCGACCTAGAGTCCCTCCTAAAATCCCAACGCAGGCCCCTGGTGTTGTGCTGCTTCATGGTTTTGTGGACTATATTTTTTCAGAATAACTTGATGAATAGAAAGTTCAAAAGAACAGCATTTATTTGAAATAGAAATCTATTGTAAAAATTATAAATGACTTTACTATCACTTTTGATCAATTTAATGAGTACTTGCTGAATAAGAGTATTAATTTCTTTAAAAAAAAAAATTTAAAAAAAAAAATTATATCAATCGACCTCGTTCCACGATCCTCTGTAACCTCCAGAGCTGCTCGTCCACTAACAGATGGACGGGTTCACGATTCCGACCTAGAGTCCCTCCTAAAATCCCAACGCAGGCCCCTGGGACCCAAACACCAGGATATAGCACCACTATCATGCCTCCAAACACCTCTACTACCATTACGACCAACACTTGCCCAACATCCACAACATCTGACATAATCCATGAAGACGACCAAGACTTTATCCTGGTGAGGGATGATCGCAAAGGTGGTCCTGGATGGGTTCCAACAAATACTGAGGACGAGGAGGGAAGCACAGACCTACGCCCTCCGGATAAAAGCTACACGCCGGGTTATGATTACATAGTAGAAGGTCCAACCGGAGAAGAAAGGGCACACGAGGATGACATGTTTACCAGCACACCTGAAGAAGTCTCCACATCTGCTGTCCCACCATTGCATACTAACATCCCCACAGCAAAACCAGCCACTACTAGTAGAACCCAATACAATGATCATTTGACAACATCCCCAGTGTTGCAGAAAACAACAAGCTCATATGAACCAAATACCATCCCTAACCCTAAAGTGCCACATTTGAATACTCAAAGTCCACAAGCAACTGTTCCTACAGTGAAGATACTGAGAAAAGCCTCACAAACACCAAACAGTCCCAGCAAAGGTAATGCGCCTAAAACAAGCAGGCAGAAGCCAGAGACGGTGACCACCACGGATGACTACGGGAACCTGAATGCACGAGATCCCGTCAGTAGGAATGCATTTTGGAAAGTGGGCAACTGGAGTGATGTAAGAATGCTAACTTATGGCATTATGCCTTACATTTCCCGCATTGAATTATGCCTAGATTTGCATTCCCAGAAGGAAATACTAGTGTTTGCATGGCAGCAAAAGAATAGTGTTAAAGGTTTGGGTAAGTTTAGTTAATTAGTTAATTTCTTCCTCAGTATTTTTGTCTTGTTTGTCAGTACAAATATCTAAACATTCTTTAATCAAGTTAAGTTGCTTAAAACAAGAAAATATATTTGCCAATGGAGTTAGAAAAATTTACTTATTATCCTTTTGAATTAAGTTTATTTTTCTGAACCCACTGGCAGATTTTTCTTTCTTTCATTTTTTAAACACAAACTCACTTAATTTCGATATATTTATCTGAAAAGAAAGACTTTGTTTTACATAATTTTGCTTCTTAAGTTGATGTATTTTGCTTTAAAAATGTTAGATATTTGTACTGGGAAAAAATACAGAGGAATACATTTACACTTTTTGCAGTGTAAATATTACAGTATTATGGTATTTTGAAAGACACATTTAATCATGTACAAAATAATTTAACCTTAAATATCTATGAAAACTATAGTGTTTATTTTGAAAAATAGCACACTGGAGGCATAAAGTTTTTAAAAAGGAAAGTTTGAATGAGTCTCTACATTAGGCGGTTCAAGTTGAATTAATTGCAAAAATTTGTGCAGAAGAACAGCATTTTCTGAAGAAAATGAGAGGAGTTTTGCAGTATTGTTGGTGAATGAAAGTATTAATTTCTTACTGAGCCCAAACTTCTGAGTGCTAGTGTATCTGTTTATTTGCACATTACTTAGAGCAACCCATGTTCATTTGGCAGGTAATTGCAGTACTAATTATGCAGTACTGATACTAATATGTATTTTTTTGTCCCAGTGCTCCACTACGTGTGGTCTTGGTGCAGTCTGGCGATCAGTAGCCTGCAGCTCAGAGCGTGAGGAAGACTGTGCCAGTGTGAAGAGGCCAGAACCTGCCCGACGATGTATCCTGCGACCCTGTGCCACCTGGAAGAGTGGTAACTGGTCCAAGGTAAAGCCACCATTTCAAAACAAACTTAAATGACTGTATCCTGCAATGAACTGTGACGTCCCCCTTTCTTTAGTGTCCTGAAGGCTGTGTGACTGATACGAAGCATCGAGAAGTGCAGTGCTTCGACACTCAGAGCAGACGTCCATTGAGGCCTTTTCACTGTCAGGCTCTTTCATACAAACCAAACAGCAGTTTGCCCTGCAACACCCAGCCCTGCCTGCAGTGGATGTTCTCACCCTGGGGAGAGGTGCACATACTCATGCTACAATGCAGAAAATACTGTTAATATTTTTTTGTTGTTAATATTTTGAGTTAGTTTTTATGTTTTCTGTTTCAATTTAAATTTTAATAAAAAAAATTTAATTCTGTTGTCTTTTTGTCATTTTTGTTAATTTTTGTTTTTAGTGTCATTGATATACTACTATATTATAGTTTTTGTTATTTTGAATTCGTTTTTTTTTGTGTGTGTTTTTAGTGTCACTGATATACTATATTATAGTTTTTGTTATTTTGAATTCGTTTTTGTGTGTGTGTGTGTGTGTGCGTGCGTGCGTGCGTGCGTGCGTGCGTGCGTGTGTGTGTGTGTGTTTAGTGTCATTGATGCCTTATGTAATATGGCATATGTGACCCTGGACCACAAAACCAGTCATATGGGTCAATTTTTTGAAATTGAGGTCTATACATGATCTGAAAGCTGAATAAATATGCTTTCCATTGATGTATGGTTTGTTAAGATAGAACAATATTTGGCCGAGATACAACTATTTGAAAATCTGGAATCAGGGTGGGAAAAAATCAACATTTTGAAAAAAATCGCCTTTAAAGTTGTCCAAATTAAGTTCTTAGCCATGCATATTACTAATCAAAAATTAAGTTTTGATATATTTACAGTAGGAAATTTACAAAATATCTTCATGGAACATGATCTTTACTTAATATCCTAATGATTTTTGGCATAATCGATAATTTGATAAAAATCGATCATTTTGACCCATACAGTGTATTGTTGGCTATTGCTACAAATATCCCCCAGAGACTTAAAACTGGTTTTGTGCTCCAGGGTCACATATTATTGTTTTTGTTATTATTTTGAATTTGTTTGTTTTTTTCATCTTAATTTTAGTTAAAGTTTTAGCAATTTTGTTGTGTTTTTGTCATTTTTATTACTTTTTGTTTTTAGTATCATTGATATACTATTATAGTTTTTGTTAATATTTTGAATTTGTTTTTATTTGTATATTTTCACCTGAATTTTAGTTAAAGTTTTACTGAATTTGTTGTTTGTTTTTGTCATTTTTATTTGATTTTTTTAAATATTTTTTAAATATGTGGCCGCGGAGTGAAGGAAAGACGTGTGTACTGCCCTGAGTACCAGCACTGCAACGTCACGCTCAAACCCAGCAGCACTGAGTCCTGCAATCTGCAGCCCTGCACCAGCTGGGCGACTGAAGCCTGGGGTCAGGTAACGCACTGCCAAAACCTCAGTGTTCATTTATAGAAAGGAGTAAATAAAGTGTCTGGCTTGATATTGTGACAAATGCAATGTGATGATGGACACTACTTTTCAAAAGTTCAGGCTTAGAAGGATTTTTTTAACAAAATTTATAATTTTATTCAGCAAGGATGCATTAAATTGATCAAAAGTGACAGTTAAGATATTTATAAGGTTACAAATGAATTACCACCCCCAAATCATTTGAACTGTAGATGATTTCCTATTAAAATTTTTATTTGTATATTTTCACCTGAATTTTAGTTAAAGTTTTACTGAATTTGTTGTTTGTTTTTGTCATTTTTATTTGATTTTTTTAAATATTTTTTAAATATGTCTACAGTATATAGTTTTTTTTTAAATTTACTAGTTTTAGTTCTTTTTGTTTGTTTGTTTGTTTGTTTTTTTAGTTTTAATTATTTTAGTACTTTAAGTTAAAATAAATAAAAATGAGAAATGATGCCCTGGCAACTAGCTGCAATATATATATATATATATATATATATATATATATATATATATATGTATGTATATATATATATATATATATATGGACACTACTTTTCAAAAGTTCAGGCTTAGAAGGATTTTTTTAACAAAATTTATAATTTTATTCAGCAAGGATGCATTAAATTGATCAAAAGTGACAGTTAAGATATTTATAAGGTTACAAATGAATTACCACCCCCAAATCATTTGAACTGTAGATGATTTCCTATTAAAACAGAAAGTTGGTGTGGGATGAATCAAAGACTAACCAGCTATAGTTTCCATTCTATGATTTGTGACTTGCCGTTTTTGGTCTGAAGTATGTGGTTATTTATAATCAAGTGGGCGGGACGTTCTCATTCCAAAGAGCATTTTATTGGACAAAAATTGTTATACACCCCTCCCTGAGCATCTGTGATGTCATCACGGATTGACAGTGCTCCAGAAGCTGTGGTGGAGGCGTTCAGAAGCGAGCGGTGAGGTGCATAAGTGAGGAATCCAGCGAGGAAGAAAAGACATCACTCTGTGCAAAAAACAATAAACCTGACAGTGTGCAGAACTGCAGCCCAGAGGAGTGTAAAACTGATTTAGGTAAACTCTATTATATAATATTATGTTCTGTTTGTTTCATAATTGATGATAAGCCTACAATGGCCCCTAAATGCATTTGGACACTTAAAAATGCCTGAATGTCATTGCATTTGATAAAAACAATTTCAAAATATGAATCAAAACTAGTATCTCGATGATACTATAATAACACCGATTGAGTCAGTTCTCCTCAAGTTCACACAGGTGACCTAGCAGAGAAACCACAGGTGTATTTCATTACATTAACTATCAACATGATCCACTAACATCCTGATCCACTATCAGCAAGTTATTTTACTAAAACCCAACCAACTTCTTTTTCAGCTGTCTTTGAACTTAATAAACATTATTTGGTTTAAAGGGGTGGTTCACTGGGTTTTTTCTAGGCTTGATTGTGTTTATGGGGTGCAGTCTAACATGTGTTAATGCTTCGTTAAAAAAAAAAAAAACGCATTATTTTTCACATAAACTGCCTTTTCCCGAGGGTGGGGTTTATCTGGGTTTGTGATGTCTCGAACCCGGGAAGTAACTCGTTGTAGTCCCTACCAGCCATTTTTGTAGACATTAAACTGCCAGAATTTTAAAAGACGATATCTCCGTTTGCATTGAACTTTCAGCTTCGTAACTTTGCAGATATTGTTTATGCTCAAACAGCAACATTACACACTAACTAATGTTAACAAAAGTGAAATCGCAATCAACCACCCCTTTAATATTTTGTTATCTAATGCAATGACAATTTATACATCTTTAAGCATGGCTTACATGTGCCATTGTATTCCATTTTTATCCATGAAAAATGTGGTCTTTTTGTGCAAGACACCAAAAATCTTTTTCCCCAGGTACATACAAAACAACATTCTGGAATATATATATATATAATATATATATAAATATAAAGTTGTGCTAACATAAATAATTTTAATATACCATCCCATGGCTTTATAGCTTATTTTTAATGTTAAACCCCTTTTTTGTTATTTTGTTTCTCTTCTTTGCAGGCCTAGTTTGTAAGAAAAACAGCATGTCGACACGTTTCTGTGAGAAACTCAAGCTGCTGGGTCGCTGCTCGCTGCACTCGATCCGCAAGCAGTGTTGTGTCACTTGTCTGATGTAACACTGCAGAGGTCAGGCTTGGGTCATTGACCAAAAGCACAAACTACTGGACACACTGCACGCAGCGGTTCATGGTGCTCTAGAAACGCAGACGTCCCTCTCAGATATATGAAAAATATGTGGGTTTTACTTGAACAAAAGAATCCTTGGCTTTTGACGATGTGTTCCCTGCATTTGTCTTTAAATGCATCTTGAAATACTTCCAAATACTTAAAGCTTTAGTTACAGGATTCAACATCAGTTAGACAGTTAACCTATGTTATTTTTTGCACTCATTTTGGACTTTTTGTTGTTGTTATTCTTCTTTTTAACCCAAGTCAAGAACTGGTTGAGCACACAGCAAGACACCTGTCTTTACCGACCCACTTTATATATATATATTTTGTTTATATCATGGATCAGTTGAAAACTGCCATGAAGCGAGCAAATGTTTTTGCACGTACAGGCTGATATTCAGGTTATTCATTAAGAAAAAGTAGTTGTTATTATCTGAAGTGTCATGTGACCACAGTCTGATGAACATTATGCAACGCTTTCAAAGTCAAAATGTGCACTTCTTAAATTAGTGTAGTTTTATAAACTTGTTTTTCACAGATCTAAAGTTAATTCAATAATTTGCGGATATGTGTGCAGAATTATTAACAAATTAATCCAAGTTGCCATTAGACTGAAATTAATAGGCTGCATGAAAAATTTAGGGCATAAATTTGATTTTAGAGAGTTAAGGGTGCTTTCACACTTGGTTCGCTTGCCTGGCCCGAACCCGAGTTCGATTGCTCCCCCCTCCCCCTGCCCCCACTGGACTGTGTTCATATTCTTTTATTTGGGTCCGAACCGCGGTTCGTTTGCGTCATCAAGCCAGCAGCTGTTTACCCCGTTGCTTCCAAAAGTGCTAGTGTGAAAGCACCCTAGTTTGGGGGGGGGTTTGTGAAAGATGTTTTGAAAATTTGCATGGACAAAGCAAATACTATCACTAACATCTCGACATAAATTGATAATTTTATTTTATTTTTATTTTTGTATTTGCTACATTTGTTGATTATTTGTTTTAATTTGGATACTGCCATAAAAGCATTTTCCCCAAGCAGTTTCTATTTCCTGCTATAAACATATGATGGCCTAAGATTCATCATTATAAATACAGAGAAAATTCAAAAAGGAAATGACTAAAGTAAGAAAAATATTAAAAAGTGACTCAAATGACTGTGAAATAACAGGCTGTATTGCATTAAGAGATGAGAAATGGTACTTTATAATCAGTATGTATTTGTAACTTCATTGAACAACTTATGTAGTGAGAGTTCTTGTCAGTCAGTGAATCATATTTAGTGTTGTGATGAAAATGCAGGTATGAATATGTCAGGTACAAAAAAATCCAAAGGAGCCAGTAGCATTAGAATTTTTGAGCTTACAAAAGATCTGGTCTAGTTTAGTTTCCATTCAACCATTATTATTTTAATTTTTAAAAAAATCACATTTCTTACAACTTAACAAATTATAACCATAAATAGTTTTTTTTTAATGAATCTTTACACAGGATCTAAGAAATGTTTTGCTGAAACTGTACTCATCCTCAGGCCATCCAAGATGGGTTTGTTTCTTCATTGTAACATATTTGGAGAAATGTAGCATTCCATCACTTGTTCACCAATGGATCCTCTGCAGTGAATGGGTGCCATCAGAATGAGAGTCCAAACAGCTGATAAAAACATCACAATAATCCACACCACTCCAGTCCATCAGTTAACATCTTGTGAAGTGAAAAACTGCATGTTTGTAAGAAACAAATCATTAAGAAGTCCATAATCCATAATAACGCTTCCTCCAGTGAAAAAGTCTATCCCCTGTTGTCCTCTCAAATCAAAATCCACCAACATATTTGTTTAGAGCTGTTTTGGACTGCTTTTGCTTGTAAGCGGTGCTTAATCTGTGCATATTTCTCCCCTGGTTCAGACAACTTTTTTTTAAACTGGAGATGGCAATATTATTAAAAGAGGACTCATATTTTGGCCAGAAGCAATGGTTTAATATTAAACACCATGGATTTGTTTCTTACAAACATGCAACTTTTCACTTCATAAGACATTAAGTGATGGACTGGAGTGGTGTGGATTACTTGTGGATTATTGTGATGTTTTTATCAGCTGTTTGGACTCTCATTCTGACGGCACCCATTCACTTCAGAGGATCCATTGAGCAACTGATGTAATGCTGTATTTCTCCAAATCTGTTCAGATAAAGAAACAAACTTATCTACAACTTGGACGGCCTGAGGGTGAGGACATTTCCAGCAAATTTTCATTTTTGTGTGAACTGTTCCTATATCTGCACTGTATTTGTGGTAGGTTTTTCTAGTTCATGTGCTTTTATTACCGTCATTTGAAAATATGGATCCATCTGTGTGAACGTTGTATTGCTCACGGGGATTCATGGTGCTGTTATGGTGCTGCAGACTTTTCTGTTGGTGCTCTGTGCTTATGAGGCAGGATGCTCAAAAACGTTAAAGACATTGTTAACCAGTTAAATGCACATTGTCACTGAGGATGGAGGTGTTGCAGGTCAATCCTCTCTGGCCTTTAAAACAGGGCTGAACGTTTTATACTGCTGCTAAAATTATAAATAAATGCAGTCATGATGTGTGCAAGGCCTGTTGTCTGCTGTTTGATTTGCTTGATTGCTTTCAGATAATTCTGAGTCCATGTATGAGATCCGAACTCTGTTTCAAAACACAGCGAGCGTATACAGAGAGGTCTGTATAATACTGTTATTTTTAAGAAATTAATACTTTAAAGAAATTAATACTTTTATTCAGCAAGGGGTGGATTAAATTGATCAAAAGTGACAGGACATTTGTGATGTTACAAAAGAGTTCAGTTTCAAATAAATGCTGTTCTGTTGAACCTTATGAGAGAATCCTGAAAATAAAATGCATCAAAAATATTATATAGTAAAAACTGTTTTCAAAATTGATAATAAGAAATGTTTCTAGAGCAGCAAATCATCATATTAGAATGATTTCTGAAGGATCATGTGACACTGAAGACTGGAGTAAAATTCAGCTTTGATCACAGAAATAAATTACATTTAAAATACATTCAAATTGAAATAAGTTATTTGAAACTGTAGTAACATTTCACAATATTACTGTTTTTACTGTATTTTGAGCAAAGAAATGCTGCCTTGGTGAGCAACCCAACATTTTGAACAGTATTTTTTCTATTTTTCTTAGTAGAATATCATGTTCTTAGCTTAGCAATTTGCATAAACTATAAATAAACATAAACTATACTGGATTCAGTCTTTGCGTATATATTGGCGCAAATTGGTTTAGGAAACCAAACCAGATATTTAACCACATACTGAAAAATAAATATGAACTTCAGAATGTCTTAGTATTTGATTTTTCTCAATTTTGTGTTAATGACAGCAGCACTATTGGCATGCACAAAACCAGATGATCATGTTCTCCAGCATGATTTGAGATGTTCAACAGAGCATCTTGAGCTTCAATGGAAGCATATTTTTATTAATTACATTTTTAATCCTAAAATCTTATTTTTCCATATTTTAAAATGTTATTTATTCCTGTGATGCTAAGCTGAATTTTCCGCATCATTACTCCAGTCTTCAGTGTCACATGATCCTCCAGAAATCATTCTAATATGCTGATGTGTTTAAATGAAATTAAATAAACATTTCCAGATTTTTGATGGAGTTTCAGACCTTTGCACGTACAGTACTAAGGGTTTGGACAGGACATGCAGAAATATTGATAGAAACTTCAAAGCTTAGTCCACTACTAAATGTAGCCTGCCACTCACCAATTGTTTGTTCTTTACTAGCAACACTTTTTCAGGTCACCGTAAAATGGGAAGAGGTGACTCTGCAATCCAAACCGTGCCAATTCAGGCTCCATTACAGAGGTCGGGTCAGATTTGGCCGGTTTTTCTATCCCTTATAACTTGAAACCCACTTGGCACCGCAGCGCTGTCAGCTAGGTCACAGAACGATCACATTTGTCAGCACTGTCACACCATGTTAGTGCCCTAGATTTTGTGTGTTTCATGACAAAGCACATTACATAACCTTGATTTTAGCTCGGTTATATAATCACACGTTACCATAATGTACATCCAGCAAAAGAGGTCTGCATACGCAGTGCGATTCTTAAATGGCAGCGAGGCGACTTCCCTTTCCTGTGTACCACTAAATAATTCAGACGTCCAGTCAGAGCAGATTCAATGGTCCTGATTAAACTAAAAGCAGATCACTTCATAATATTACTTAACTAGAACAACTTGTCTAGCTTTACACCTCGGACCGAATGGGGACACGTCAGTGGAGGCGCACGCACTGCGATATCATGAGCACACAGCACCTTGTGGAGTGAACAAGTTCAATTAAGTGTTAAATTAAACAGCTTAAAGTATAATCCTTGGGTTATGATGAGATTATATTATATCCGTTGGTTTACATATGTATAAGGTCAGCTCAACTGATCAATGATTTCATGACAAGCATGTCCAGAAGCGGAAAACAAGAAACCATCGCTGCAAGCGGACACCCCGACACCTTCAGTGGACATTCGCTTCATCAAATATTTACTTTTAGTGACTGGCAAAACTGCTCAAGCCCAGAATGGATGAAAACTAATAGCATTCAAAGAGACAGAGATTTCTGAGCCAGGTTGAAATCTACTGAATATAAATATAAGCAGCATCACCATCACAAATACTCAGGGTTATGATTTGAACAAACCCCAAAAGGATGCACCGATGTATCGGCCGATAAAAGCAATTATCTGCAAACTATCTATTATAAAACTAACTATCTAAAAGCAACTATCTATTATATATTAAAAACAGCCGATGATCAGGGCCGAATATATCCTGTCAATCAAAAGGGGGCAGAAAAACACGTCAGACATAAACTTGCATGAAGTTTAGGGCTGTCCAAGTTAAAGTAATAATAAAGCATTAATGCAGCGTTATTAACGTGGGTTCTGTTTGACCCTATGAATCACCCATAGTTCAAACCAGGGTTGAACTACATTTCCCTTCATTAGTTAGTAGTTAGCTATAAAAAACACTAGAGGGAGCTTAATTACTGTTAATTATACAGTATGTTTGAATAAATCCGTCATGAAGATAAGTTTTTAGGAAAACTACCTTCTGTGTAATTGAGTTGTTTACAAAGTTTTATTTTGAGTGTTTCTATCTGAAAATAAACAGCATTGAATATAATAGTCTTGTTGTTAATTTTAACCTCTAATATTATATACCAAAAGAGAGGGCTCCCTGTATAATTTACAAAAAAACAAAATTATCGGTTTCAGCAGGTAACATTCTGAATAATCGGCTATTGATATCGACTGAAAAATTTCGTATCTGTGCATTATAATAAATTTGAATAATCACCCTTGAGTCCTGACTTTTGTTTATTTTACTTTTAAAACATTTTATGTAAAAAGTATTTGCACATATATATTCTATTCAACAAATTATGCATTTATTTTGTAGTTTTGCCACAAAAAAAAATGGTGGACTTTAATTCAATATTCTTTCTAAGTATGCTGTTATTTGATGTAAGTCTCTCATTGGAAGTCGGGAAACTGTGCTGTTTCTAACTGGATTTGAGGAACATTACCGGGAGATAGATCTATCGAGATAAAACTAACCGATAAAACCCAGGTCACAGAGAAAGATAAACCTCTGGCTTCAGCACAATCCTCCAAATCTTTCTTATATTACATGTGGCCCGAAAAAGGAGAGGGGAAAGGCCTCGTTTCGATTGACTACTGCATGTTTTTCAAATAAAATCCATGACCTTTTTTTTTTTTAATCCATGACTTATTTGAGTTTTATCCGTGGGTTACAAAAAATAAAGCCTCACAGAAAGCGAATCATGTTGCGCACTCGTAGCACGTTAAAATGCAGGAATGTGTGACTAGGACTGGATACGTTTTACGGCACTATGGCTTTTTATGATTTAATATTTCAAGGAAAAAATAAACACGTTGGTGTGATCGTAAGAGGGTAACAAGCCAGCCTCATTTCTAGAATCCAGAAAAGGCTTTTAGGGGGAAACAAAGCAGGAAATGCAGATAAGATAGTGATGTTTGAGAAGGCAGATAAACCCAACCACACAAGACATTGTCACTGGAAACACATTTCAGTTCATCAATACTCCATAAAACTGTGTGCGATCTGTCAATGCAAAAGTCAAAACTTTTCCACTCAGTTTTGAGTGGAAATGGAATGGAGGTGTGTTTAGATCTTGTTTTGAACGAAATTTGACAGAGCAATAGGACTCGTCTGACAAATTGAGCTAGAACTTTCACAGCTACTGATAAACAAAGAATAGAAGTTAGAAGAATAGTTTACCTGGAAATGATTGTCATTATTGGACATTCTCCTATTTGTCTTCTTTTGTGTGAACACTGTGAGTATTATGGACTACTTTTAGGCTGTTTTTATGTCTTTTTGAAGCATGCTCACTATGAACTATCAACCCGATCTCATGAAAGTGCGTTTAAATACGCACGCCAACATATTTCGTATCATATGCACGCGAAAACTGCGTATTATATGCACGCCAAACACATGCGTATCATATGCACGCCAAAGTCAATTTTTCCGTATCAATACCACGAGTTTTCGTTTCTATTTGGCGTACTATTTATACGCATTTTCATGAGACCGGGCTACAACTATCACTGTATATGGACAAGAGCAGCATAATCTTTTTTTTTAAACATCTCCTTTTGCGTTTAACTGAAGAACAAACGTAGTTTTATTCATTTGGTTCATACAAAATAAAAGTAGATCATTTTCTGCCAGGACATTATCTATTAAGTTCACAGACATTTCCTTTAACCCAATGCGGAATTGAAAAAAAACGGTAAAACACCTGTGTAATCAGTGGAAAATGTCTTCATATTAACACAATACATGGTGATTATTTCAGCAGTGTAGAATCTTCTTTAAACAGCCAAATAAGCTTTTATGAACAAGATTTGAATTTCTTGTTTTGGTGCCAATTTCGTAAATTTGACTATTTGAACTATGTTTTGCTTTTGATCGTTTTCTTCAATTAAATGTTAGTTGAATGCCTGTAGTCCTACTAAAATAATCAATTCGTTAACACGTTCCGAACACAGAATAATAATGGCATGTAATGTGTAACAGACCAAACCAACGTCTTGTGTTTTCAAGCAGTGTTGCTTTAGACCTCAGGATATTGTACACGGTGAAAGGGACGTGATCTGCGACAAAAAGAAAAGATGAAACATGAAGATTCCGAAACTTTATCAAACTAAAAGCTTCTTATCATCAGATGGGACCAATCATGAGTGGCCTCTGGTTAGGTTTGTTCATCTTTTCATGCGTCTGTCTGTGCTCTTTTCCTAGTCCACTATCAAAGAGCTCCAGATAACAGCCATTCACAAAAGCCCATCAGACAAACCCCTAAACATGACAAGGAGGAGCAAAAGCTGCGTGTGAGTGTGAGAATGGAGGAAGGGACCTAGAATGACGGACAAGGAGTAGGGAGGGGTGAGGAACCAAGAGAGAGACAGCAGCATTTCTGTGAACCTCCTGGAGGTAGGAGATCACATCGGGAGACAGGATGCCAGGAACAGGGTCGTTTTGACACACATTCCCTGTAAACGCAGGAGGAATAAGTGCTGCCATGATAACCATTCCCAAATGGGATTAATAAAGCACTTTATATCACCATCAGAAGCTTTACAGACTCGCTCCTCAGCCTAATTCCACAACTTCATGCTTTCTTCACCAGTCTTGAGTGGAGTTCTCTGGAGCGAGAGGCATCCATGCACATTCACTGAGCAGCATGTCCCATGAGAAGTACCATGAGGAGATGGACAGTGAGTAACAGTGTGTCTGCATGCTGGTCGGTGTGTGTCGTCTATCTTCTCGCCGTCTCCGTGATCTTCGCGTCCAGCGTCACCTGTCGCAGCGCATGTCCCGTGCAGCGGGCGCTCAGGGTCGCCAACTCCTCGTCCGCCTCCACCTCCGGCCGGCATGTGCGCAGCTACGTGCACCTCCAGGGAGACGTGCGCCAGCGGAAGCTCTTCTCCTTCCAGAAGTTCTTCCTTAGGATCGGGAAAGACGGCAGAGTCAACGGCACCAAGAGCAAAGACGATCCCTACAGTGAGTCGCTTCATAATAGCCTATACACTCCGTTTATTCCGAATAATTTCAGTAAATATACGATTTCGAGTGTTTGGAGACGTTATGCATCAACTTATCTGTTAAGAAAATGCATTAATCAGGTTTAAAGGCACACTTTAGAGTTTTATTAAACCCGATTAAAATGTACATTTGACGAGTTTGAATGTAGCCTACAATTACTAATCATGCAATAATGGTGGTAATGGAAGTTATGAACTGAATTGTGTCATTTAGATTTAAATTACGTCAAAAAACATTCTGATGTTAATAATAATAATAAGAGGGGGCTATTTAATTATTAGTTTTAAACTCTATTAATTGCTTATCATATGCTTAACAGATCAATAGTTGATGTATTGATGCATATATCTGAAAATATCTAATGTTTAATGAAGCTTCTAATGGTTTGAAAGTACTTTAATGCTCTTTTCAAACACACACACACACACACACACACACACACATATATATATATATATATATATGTGTGTGTGTGTGTGTGTGTGTGTGTGTGTGTGTGTTTATTATAATAAAGTTTCTGGATTATGTCATTATAGGCAAACATATTGAACATTGTGACATGAAATTAATTATTTAAAGTCGAATTAATTATGAAATTAATTGAAAAAAGAAATTAAATTCGAATTAAATTATTACATTTATTGATCAAATTAGTTAAATGAATACATTGATTAATTAATTAAAATAAAAATCCAGAAATCCATTTAGGAATATTATTACATTTATAAGTAAACTTTAATTTTATAATTAAATTAATAACTTTTTGTAACTTTTTTTTATAATAAAATTGTTAATAATTTATCATTTTTAGATTTTCTCATGTGCATTCCCATGCATATAAATCAAATAAAAAAAGTCTTTTCGACTTTCTATTCTATTCTACAGACATTTCTATAACCTGCAATCACTTTTTGCAAATGGCAAATTATTGCAAATTATATCTAAGCAAAACACCTGATGCAAACTAAATTCAGGGTGCAGGCTGTTCTGTCTTAATGAACCACACAGGAATAATATTAATATTTAAACCCCTTTTAAATGCATAATTATGTCCTGACACCCAGAAACCTGAGAGTAATTAAGCCACATATTGCCATAAATGTTTTCCCTGGCACAGCAAAGGAGGAAACACATCCTTTATAATGTGATCAAAGGTTACACTTGTTTGCGATGGCTGTATCTAACAGAGTCATGGATCTGTTATTAGATTGTTTCTGGTTTGTTATCAAGTATTATGAGCCCATCAGGGAGAGGCACAATGTGTTTTCGGTGTTTTACGCGGAACAAGTTAATTAGCCATTACTCATATGGAGCCCATGTGCAGATAAGGGTCTTCCTGTTTCCTCTGCGTGTGTGAGTGTGAGTGTGTGTTTGTGTTTGTGTTTGTGTTTGTCTGGTGTCTCGCACTGACATCCCTTCCTTTTTAAGGCCACGGGGCATCTTGATTTAGGCGTGTGTGGTTGTTTGTGTCTGGTGCTTTTTAAATCAAACTTTCTTTTTAATGTCTCAGTTTTTTTTCCTAGACAGCAGGTACTGTCAAGTGTGCATATTAGTACCTCAAGTGTGCATATCAGTACCTAAAGTGTACATATGAGTGTGCATATCAGTACCTCGAGTGTGCATATTAGTAGCTCAAGTGTGCATATTAGTACCTCAAGTGTGCATATTAGTACCTCGAGTGTGCATATTAGTACCTCGAGTGTGCATATCAGTACCTCAAGTGTGCATATCAGTACCTCAAGTGTGCATATTAGTACCTCAAGTGTACATATTAGCACCTCAAGTGTGCATATTAGTACCTCAAGTGTACATATTAGTACCTCAAGTGTGCATATTAGTACCTAAGGTGTGCATATTAGTACCTAAAGTGTACATATTAGTACCTCAAGTGTGCATATTAGTACCTCAAGTGTGCATATTGTATATATTAGTCCCTAAAATAGCACCTCAAGTGTGCATATTAGTACCTCAAGTGTACATATTAGTACCAAAATAATACATATTAGTAACTTTTGAAGGGGTACCACCCCCGTGACATCTTTTGCACCTTTTTTCTGTAATGAAATAATGGTGTTTCTTAGTCTGGTAGTTAATTTTACATTGTTTATATTTCTATCATAAAACATAATGGAAAGTCTTTTGAGCTATAAAAGAGCATCCTCCAAGCAGTAAAAGGTAAAAGTGACCTCCTTAGCTTCTATTTTGAGCACTGTTTTTGTACAAATTTCTTTTAAAATCTTTTTTTTTCTAAACATTTAAGTAAGTGCAGACTCTAGTTGTAATATTTTTTAAGTTCATTTGAGATCAGCATGGAAATGTATCAGGCAGTTGAGTTGTCCCTGTTAAGGGGCAACGTGTGTTTGTGTAGCATCGGACATCACTGTGACATCTGGCTGTGTAAACATGTAATCAAGCCCTCAGAGGTGATCAGGTGTTGAGAGGAAATGTCTGTCAGATCCGTGCGTGTGTGTGAGTTTCCTTCTGATAGCCTCATCTGTAATAAAACAACAGACAAACAGCACTCAACCAGACTACGCAAATCTACACCCAGCTAACGTCAAACATCATCAGCAATCATCATCAGGTGATCAGACCGTTTCCGCTTGCTGGAAGATAAAACTCTGCAAAAAACTTACACTGACGGAAGAATACAAGCAGTATCACTGACTTAGCAACCCTAGCAAAACCACTCAGAATATCCTAACAACCACATATCAATGCACTGTCGACCCTGTGGAATGCCTTAGAATTGTGTCAGTGTGTTTTGCATTGGTAAGCTAACTTTTTAATAGCAAATATGCCTTATAAACAGTATTTAAGTGTTAAAGCTCTGTGCCATTTTAACTGTCTTTCTACATTTCACAACTAATTTATTCACAAGCTAGTAGCTAATTTAAGCAGTGTACAGCACAGCTGGTTGCTCTTATGTCTATAGGACTGAGCTTAAAGTGTGTGTGTGTGTGTGTGTGTGTGTGTGTGTGTGTGTGTGTGTGTGTGTGTGTGTG